GCTTCGCCGGTGTCTCCATCCCTCACCCGCCTTTCCCTGTTTTTGCACAGTTATGCAGAAGGCGTGGCGCGAGAGGAACCCTCAAGCCCGGATTAAAGCAGCGTATCAAGCTTTAGAGTTGAACAATGAGTAAGTTTAGAGTACGAGTTCAGTCGCTGTATTCCTAGCGTGGAAGGGCAAGCCCAGTGCTACTGGGCGCACTGTCACCTTCTTGTTCCAATAATTTACTTCTAGCAAAGTCCTGAGCGGCTTAAGGGGAGACTTCTGGGGCTGTGAGAACTGCACGTGGGGCTATCAGTTGCTCTGAAATATTGAACTGTTCTGTAAAAACCTTCTGTTCTCCCTTTTTCTTGGGAAAGATATTTTTTAAAATCTTTACATCAGTAGCAAGAAACAAATAGGAAATCTTATTCAGATGGGGAACAGTCTCCATTGAGTACGAGATTGTGTGTGTTCCCGAGGTGGCATGGTGGCCATACTGTATGTGGAGTTCACCGATGCCGCTCCTGTCAGGGATTTAAAAATACTCTTATAACACAAACCAAAGAATTTCATGCACTGCTGAGATCCATTTTGTTATGTGGTTTTCTTGGTTTTGTGTAAAGTGCCTTTTTTTTTTTTTTTTTTTTTTTTTAAAACCTCCTGGGTTTAAAAAAAGCAAAGCAAACCAAACACAAAGGAACCTCTCCCGGCAGTTACCAGAGCATTTTTAATATTTCAAGGAAAATAATTTGACTTGCTGTGATGATTCTTTCTTTTGTTGTTTCTCCAAACGTGTGTGTTCTGTAAAATGGGAAAGGTTTCTGTTTTCCTGACACTCATCGTTTGATCTCAAGTCAGTATTTTGGTACTTTAATTTTGTCAGTGCTTAGCTATTAAACGTGAGTGAAAGCTGCCCACTTTAATGCTTTTATCAGTTCCTTAAAAAATACTAAACTTTCTTCTTCAGAGTAATTAGTGGGCTTTTTTGCTATTACAGCTGTGCCACGGCGTATGTTCTCCTAGCTGAGGAAGAAGCAACAACTATTGTGGATGCTGAGAAGTATTTCAAGCAGGCTCTGAAAGCAGGAGAAATGATTTACAGAAAGTCTCAGAATTGCCATTCCCAGAGTCCCCAGCACGAAGCACAGCTGAGTAAGGACTTTGGAGTCACGTGAACTCTTGGTTTTGTGTGAGCAGGAA